CCAGGGTCATGGTCCAGGCCCAGAAGTTCCGTCTGATCCCTGGGCTCCACCAGGGGGCTTGGGCCTCCTGGGGGGCAGTGGGAGGTGGAGGTGGGGGCCCTGGAAGGTAACACATCCCACATCACTCTGCGGCACTGGGTCCTTGGGGAGCGGCTCCTCTGCTGTCCGGATGGAGGAGTGGCTGCTGGGCTCAGAGCGCCCCAAGTGCACTCAACCTTCAAACCTGGACATAGCCCTGGCAGACAAGCCAAACCGGAATTTATTTTGGGAACACCCTTTCCTGTTAGAGTATTCTGGGGCTCCAGCAGCCCCACAGGTGGCTCTGGGAGGTGTCTTTTCCTGGGGGGAATTCCCCAGGGATGGGGGTGCAGGAAGGATGGTTCATGGAATAAGCAGCAGCCATGGCTTGCTGCCAGTGGGTGCTGGCTGGTGCCAGGCCCTGAGCCAAGTTCCTGTAACCACACAGGCCTGTTTGCTCCCCAGGGACCTGTGGGGCATCCTGCCAAGGGTTTGCGTGCCTGCTGGGCTGGGTCACCCAAGCAGCCCCCCCGTCTGTGGCTGGAAGGGGGTGGGCGTGGCCTGCCTGGGGTGCAGGGACCTGTGGCCAGAGGCTGAGTGGGCACACAGGCACACATGCCCTCCACCCAGCGTGTCCTAGACCACTAAGGATGGGGTGATGTCCAGCCAGGCCACTGCTGCACTTGTGGCATTGAGCAAGTTGCTGAGTCTCCAAGCATCAGTTTCCTCAGGTGGAGCTCAGCACCTGCCTCCTGGGCGGCTGCCCAGTGCTAGTGCTTGCTGCCGCTATCAGTCACCTGGTGGATGCGCTTGACGGGGCACTCAGCCACCAGGCTTCAGCGGGACTGGACATCTGCATCCTGGCGACCGCAGTCATGGCCTTGCTGTGAGCCCTGGGGCACGTCACTCTCCTGTCCCACCTCAGTTTCCCCATGTGAAGTGAGGGTGTGGGCTGTGGTGGTTCAAAGGCCTCTCTCCGAAGGGGTGCTGGAGCCCCCTGGCAGCACACCGGGGAATGTCTAATATCTTGCTGCGTTGGTTAAAAATTTACTTAACTTTGCTCCCAGCCCTCTCTAGGTCATTCCTCCCTCCTGTGGGGCTGGAAGGTGGGAATGGGGCCACACCGGGCCCCAGCATCTGGGTCTCCCCTGCCCACAGCCACCCTCCTGCTAGCAGTGGTACCTTGCCCCTGTGTGGGTGGGCCCATGGGACACCCTGCAAGGCCTTTTCATTCCCGCTTTCCCCGCCAACTTAGATTATCTGAAATAGAGGCCCTGGACCTGGAGTCTTCGCCGAGAACACCTTGGAGGTGGGAATGTGGTTAACAGGCGGTGCTGGGGTGGGGGGTGAGGAACTCGGTTGGGGGCACTGGAGACGGAACCCTCACCAGCACAGTGGGCTGCCTGGCTGACCATGAGTGGCTGGAGACACCTCTCTCCCCCTCAGACAGTGAGGGTAGAGGAGACGAGGGGAGCATCCTGGTGGAACAGGGGTGCCCAGTCCTCCATCATGTTCTACCCTTGGTGGCGCTCATATCACTGTCTGCTTTCATTCAGTGCTGACAACTCGGGGGGCGGAGGGTGGATTTTATTACCCTGATCTTACATATGAGGAAATGGTGACCTCTTGTAGGAGACTGGCCTTAATCTGATTTTTAAGCTTTTACTGTTATCAAAATCTGAATTTAGTAAGTACTTCCTGAGCATGTTCATGTAAATTGAGCATGAACAACAATTCCCTAATGTCATCTAACACCCAGTCCATAGTCCCCTAGTGTCTAAAATAATATATTCCACATGGGTTATAGACTCAGAATAGAAAGGCCAAGTGCATCGGCTGAATCTGCTTGATGCGTCCCTTAAGACTTTCTTAGTCACAGTACCTCCTCCCACATTTCCCCTCCATTTATGATTGAAGACCCGCTGGATACTTGATGTTGGAGTTTCCCAAACTCTGGTTTTCACTGGTTGCGTCTTTGTAGTGTTAACAGACTCCTTTGTTGCCTGCATTTCTGTAAACTGAGGTGAGAGATGGATGCTTGATGGGATTCACTGGAGGAAACTTTGGATGTAAAGGGATTGCGCTGGTTGCTGTGTTGAGAATAGGCTGCAGGTTCAGGGTAGAAGCGGGGAGACCTGTCAGGAGGGCTACCTCAAGTGAATCGTGGGAGGAAGAAGCTGGGTGAGGGGGCAGGTAAGGAGTTCGATATGGACTGTGGAATTCAAGTTGCCATTGGATGTCTGAGTGGAGGTGCCAAGAGGGAAGCTGAGTCTAGAGTGGATTTGGGAGGGCCCCAGAGGTTGGAGATATAGTTTGGGAGTAATTTGAATATTGGTGTTTTTTTTTTAAGGTTGATAAAGAAGGGAGGAGGGTAGGACCTGATCCTTGGGCACTGCACTCAGGGAGAGGAGGAGGAAGCAGGACCAGGGACTGAGAGCAGTAGAGAGCAAGGTCAGAGAAAGGGCAGGTGGGGGAGGACCTGGGGCTGAAGGCTGCCATAGAGTCCAGGAGGCCGAGGCAGTCAGAGTTCGGCTAGTTGCAGCCCTCAGACTTCTCCCACCCTCTCACCTAGAGCCAACCATTTTCAACTTTCCTGCTGATTCTTTGGTTTGTACTTCTATGTCTAAATAGCATACGTGAACCGTTACTTCTTGGTTTTCCCATTTCATTCCGTCCCCCACTCCCACTACACACGTGCTCTTACCATCCGCTATCCTCCCTAGATCTTTCTCTCGTAACTTTGGTTACATCAGTGTTGAGTATTTATATTATGATATCTATGTATTTAGAGATGAGCCTTGTGGTAAATTGTGGGGTTTTTTTTCTGCCCAACTTTTTGTTTTCCTTGAAGTTATTGCCTTCTTTTTTCATTTGCTCAGTTGTCTGTGTACTAAGTCCTGAACTCTCCACCAGGTCATCTAAGTCTCCTCTCAGTGTGTTCAGTCACTTTGATCCACTTGAGGGCGTCTCTCCCGTACTTTCGCCCTGCTTGAGGCTCCTTCCCCCCGCCAGTGACCCACTCTGCCTGGCACACAGCTGCCATCCTGGGGATGCCCCTCAACTCTCCTAGGTCTGATCAGTGTTTATTGTAGTCCATGTTTTCTTTTTTCTTGGTCTCCACACTCATTTTAGTAGCATGCGTGTGGGGAGACACACACACACACACACACACACACGTACGTGCTGGGTGGTTCCCATGCATTCTTTTAGGGGAAGTGCCTGAGATTTGGACTGGGGTGGAGGTGGGAAGGGAAGTAGAGATGGGGAAGGGGCAGAGGGCCTGGAGTGTTTGTCTTCCTGAATGGAGGGTGATGCTGTGTGGGTGCTGGGCCCTGCGTTAGAAAGTCAGGTTCCCCCACCATCACACCTGCAGGACGGCCTGGTCAGAGCCAATGTTTATTGGCTGGATGAGCCCAGCCCCTTCCAGGCCTACACCTCCACTCCTGACTCCACCGGCCTGCTCCAGTTCCCTTGGGGACAGGGACAGGGTGAAGGAGGACAAGGGCAGAGGGAGTCAGGATGGGGAGGGCTGTCAGGAGGCCCCTAGGTGAGCGGCACACCCGCAGGGCAGTCACCAACCCTGAGCTCAGCTGGCGTGAAGGAGAACTTGTGCCCTCCCTGTGCTAGGCTTCTGGGCATGGAGGGCTGGCAGGGGTGCCCCTGTGGGCAGGGGCTCAAAGGAGCACTAGGGCCTAGGGAGCCTGGGATGAGAAGTGACCTGAAGCCTCAAGATCAGGGGTCTCAGGTCCTCAAAGGTGCAGCCAGCCACACTGCCTCCCTGCCCTGCAGTCCCGACCGATCATAGTAACATCGCATCCCACCTGGGCCACAGGAGAGCCCAATCTACCTTAACTCACCTCCTGCCCCTCCCTCCCTGCCATATCCGGTGGCACGAGGTGAGGGCCCCCTCAGGAGGGCCCCAGTGCCTGGCAGGTGAGTAATTCTATTTACCTTTCCTGAGAGGCCTCCTGTCCTTTCATTTGCTGCAATTAGCTCAGCTCTGCCTAAGCGGCTCCAGCTCACGTGGCTGGGCAGGGACCGTGGACACCCCCTCCCCCGAGTCCCAGCGGTCCCCCCCCCCCCCCGCCAGCTCCTAGGAGCAGGGCCGCCTGGCTGGCCCATTTGGCTTGTGCTCTTGGCTTCTGTGGCCCCTTCCTCTTTTGACAGTGCCCCTGCTCCTACCCCCTTCCACGCATACCCCCCACCAGGCATCATGACACCGGACACAAGGGGCGCTCTTGAGGGGTGACTACAGTCCTCGCACTGCTGCTGCACTTGTCTCCACCCTCTGCATCAGATGCACCGCGCCCCGGGGGGCAGCTTGGACTCAGGGCGCACCACCTGGCTCTTCCTGCATGAGTGCCAGCCCTCATTGACTGCCAAGCAGGGTGCCCACCCACCAGGCGATGGGCAGCACCCTCGCACACAGCTGCCCTTCCGCATGCGCTTGGAGCAGCAAGGACCGCAGTGATCCTCTGTGAAGTGGCTATGCTGGGCTGTGCCGCAGTCTTTGGAAAACTGGGCTGCGCCTGCACCTGGACGGTCTCGATTTTGGGGTCCATCTCTCCCCGCTTCAGTCGGCTACATGGGCTGCGGATTGCTGGGGTGGCTAGAGTTGGGATGAAGCAGAGGCCAGTAGAGGACATCCAGTTCTGGATTATCTAGTTCTGGATTATCCAGTGATGCCCTTGCTGGGCCTGAGTCCAGCCCCGGCTTCGGCTCTAGCAGGGAGCCAGGGATGTTCATGTGGGGTTGGTAGAAGGACTGTGATGTCGGTGGCTTCCCTCGGCCATTGACGCCCTTCATGCCCCTCTGCGGGCGAATGGTGACACTCCGGGGGTTGAGGGGCCAAGACTGAGTGGGGCCCGTCCACTCTGGCCCGGGGTGGGGGTGAGCCACCACCCCCCACCCTGGCACGAGGGCTGGGGACGGCACGTGCTGGTGGGGCACCACCAGCCACCACTCACACACACCCTCAGGGATTCCAGCTCCAATTCACCTGTATGATGGGGCAACAAGGAGAAGTCTAGAAGGAGCAAGCCAGCACGGGCCATCCACGGCTACTCCCTTCTCACGGGGAGGCCCTGGGCCCAGCTGGCCCCTCTCCTCCAGCCCAGCTCTCCACCCAGGGTGAGCACAGAGCTCTTTATTGTTGGAGGACACATGTTTTCTCTAACTCAGACACACTGACACACACGGGGACACACGGGCATGCATTCACAGAACAGCTTCCCCGCCACCCCCCCTCCCCCACCCCTTGGCACAGAGCAGGTGCCCCTCAGACCGCCACACTGGGGACATGTGGACAGCAGGGTGCTGTCTGGCTCCCACGCTCTTGCCTCTGTTGGGCATCGGTTATGGATTGTCCAGTGATGCCCTCTCTGGGCACCTGAGTCCAGCCACAGCTGAAGTTCCAGGGGGCTTCAGAAGGGGTTCTCAGCCAATCCAGGGAGGCCGCCAGCCAAGTGGGTCTCCGTAGAGGGGTCCTGGCTAGTCCTGTTGCTGCCACCGCCCCTTGAGAGCAGCAGCTTCTCACTGGGGGGGCCACCAGTGGGTCTGGCCGTGTGGCTGCCGACATGGCACTCCTCCTGCAGTGCTTTGCCCTCGCGCCAACGATGCCAGCGCCGCAGCAACTCCGACTGCACCTGGGGTGGGCAGGCGGGTCGGGCCAGTCCCAGGGCCTGCCCGTGCCACCCTCTCAGGATCCCCAACCCCCTGGCCTTGAAGGGCTATGTGGCGCCCTGGTTGTGGAGCCAGGCAGGCTCTGTCACCACAGAACGCTGGGGTCTGGGAACACCTGGGGACCCCCTCACCCTCAGGTGCACTCCCTGAGGACGGGCTGAGGCTGACCCATCTCAGCAGGCCTGACACCCAGTGTCCTGGAAACTGAGCCCAGTAAGTGCAGGTGGACACGAAGGGCTCACACCCGAGGGGTGGGGCCAAGGTGTCTACACTCCCCCTGACCCCAACCCCAGCGCTGGTTCCAGACCCACACCCCCCCACCTACCTCCTTGTTGAGGAAACAGTAGAGAACAGCCACCAGCAGGCCCTGGAGAGATGGGGGAGGTCAGGGCTGCACCCAGGCTGGCCTGGGGGTTGGGCAGTTGGTTAAGGGGCGGGCAGGCACCTGGAAGGAGCTGAGGAAGAGGTCGAAGAAGAGCTTGGCGGAGCGCAGGGTGCCCTGGGCATGCTCGTCGGTCACAAAGGCAAACACCACCTCGTGGACCCCCAACAGGGGGATGAGGGTCAGCGTGGACTTGGCCAGCCTGCGGGGGCAGAGACTGAGCCACCAGCCCAGCACCCCCTGGGGCTCTGGTGCCCCCCACCCCCACCTACACTCCTCTGGCCCCCGGGGTTCCGCAAGCCGCCTGGCGCCCTCCCACTCCCAACGCCCACACCCACCGGAATTTGCAGTCAGTATAGCGCATCTGGTGGGCTTGCAGCTTGGCCGCCAGGAGGTGAAGGATGCGGACGAAAATGAAGAAGTTGATCTGTGGGTGGGGGGGACACAGCTCAGGGCAGCTCTTGGCCCCCACCTGTCCCTCCTGGAGGTGGGCCTGGCAGCCAGACAGACCCTGGCTCCTGGGGCCCTGGGGCTGTGGGCACCCAGTCAAGGATGGACAGCCTGGCCCAAGGCCCAGGGCGCCAGCCAGTGTCCTGGGTGAGTGCCAGGCCTCCCTCCCTGTCCACCCAGGCAGGATGCTGTCTGTCTCCTCAGGCTGCTGCAGGCCGATGAGGAAGGAAGGGGCTGGGGGGCCAAGTCCAGCAGCCTCCCGGCCCTCCCTGCAGTGCCAGCAGGTGCCTCATTTCCTCACCAGGATGGCCAGGAAGACAGGGAAGCGCAGGATCCACCAGAAGCCCATGTTGTCATTGCTGGTCCAGCACCTGCAGGGTGGGGCCTGCTTGTGTCCTGGCAGCCTCGTAGCCCCCCCGCCCCCTGATTCCTTGGGATCTAATTAGTGCCTCAGGAAAAGAAGGGAGATAATTACCAATGACCTCCACCCCGGGGAACCAGGTTTGCTTAGTGACCCCCACTGCCTCTGGCCGGAGACCCCTGAGCCACTCCCACACTCTGAGCCACATGGCCATTCCCCACGGGGCCAGCCCAGCACCTCCCAGCCAGGAGAGGCGAATCCCCCTGCTGGCCCGCCAGTCAGATACTCACTGGATGTTCTCAAACAGACACTTGACCACCACCCAGGGGGTGACGAACAGCATGGGGGCACCTGTGGGGGAGAACAGCTGTGGTCTCGTGGCCCTGGCCAGCCCGCTGGCCCCCTGCGCACCGGCCCACTCACCCCAGCCGATGCCCAGGTAGAGGGGGAAGCAGCTCCTTTCAGGGATGGTGGCGAAGCTCAGCAGGCTGTGCAAGTACACGCCCTCCACCAGCAGCCAGCAGTAGTTGGCCACGACGCCGTACTGCATGAACACCGCAGCCACCCGGCAGCCGGCCACTGCCTGGCCGCGGGGGCAGCATGAGTGCGGGCCTCCCAGCTGCCTGCCGCCCAGGGCCCGGAGGCCAAGAGGCCGGATCTGGGAGCTCACCCCGTCACTCAGCCAGACGCTCACGCTGAAGTCGTCCCCAATCCTCTGGCTGTAGCGGGTCTTGAGCAGCGTGTCGATGACCAGCACAGAGCTGGCCTTGAGCACGAAGGACGCGAACAGGTTCACGTGGATGTAGTTTCGGGTGCAGTGCAGCTTGCTGTGGGGACAGCGAGTCAGTCCCCGCCCACCCTGCCCGCTGGGGCCCCCCATGAGCAGGGCGGTGGGCATACCTGAGGCCCAGCAGGATGGCCAGGGCCAGGAGCAGGGCCCCCAGGGACAGGGAGTAGCCCACGGTGTACATCACCTGGAAGCTGCTGTACATCTTGGCCACCTCCTTCTGCAAATCGCAGTGGCCAGTCAGGGCTGGAGAGGGCCATCTTGCCCCTCCCCACAAGCCCCCACTGCACCTGCCATGGGCTGACCTGGACCTCAAGCTCCTTGTCGTCCATCTGGCACTGGGAAGCATTTCGCCATGGCTGCCCCCGCGGCCCACGTACCCACTGCCCATCAGGCCCACACCTCTTGAAGACGAGGCGGTGCTGCACTGCGGGGGCAGGCTCTGGTCAGCTCCCCGCCCCTGGGCTGAGCCCCCTCTGCCAACCCCCCACATCCCTGCTGTGGTTACCTTTGTGGTGCCAGGGCAGGTACCAGGGGCAGGAGATGTTGGCTGTGGTGTTGGGAGGGGTGTCCGGCCAGCAGGAATATTTGTCAAAGGTTCTATTACAGACCAGCTCTGCAGAGGCGGGGACAGGGTTGCTCCTCAGCAGGGCCTGGCCTGCACAGCCCCCTGTTGTACGCTCTCTGCGCCCCAAGAGGCCGCCTCCCAGATCTCCCTGACCATCCTGCCTGCCCTGGACGCCTCTGTCCAGCCTGATCCTGAGCTCCAGCTCTGCCCGGCCACCTCCCCTCAGATACTCCGCATCTCCACCCAGGGTCTTCCCTCTTCCTAGTGCCCTTCTAGCAGCACTTCCACCTCTGGAGGCTGAACCCCAATTCTGTTGGCATCCTTCTGGGCCCAGCACCGGCCCCCTCCCTCCCCCAAACAATGGCTCGGCCTCCCAGGCAGCTCCTCCCGCCCCAGTGTCTCTCTTTGCACCTGAGTGGTCTTCAGAACTTGCCCAGAACGCTGTACCTCAGTCTGCCTGAGCACTCCAGATAATGGCTCATCTCCTTCCCCCTCACCAGCCCTGGTGCCCTCTGCCTGCCCCTCTCGGTCCACCTCCCCCACACACTGTCTGCCTCCTGGGCCACGAGGCTTTGCTCCATGGGAGGAAAGACGGTGTCCAGGCCGTGGGCCTGAGGGGTGCCCAGCAGCAGGGGAGGGGCACGAAACACCCCAGTTCTGGGGCATTTCTACCGTTTCTTAAATGTCCTGGTCTGTGGCCCTGGGCTAGTCACCAGCTTTTCTATGGCTCAATTTCCTCACCTGTAAATGGTGGGTGGGGGTTGCGGGGACTGCACTCGGGCCGAAGGCGGGGCTCACCAGTTGGGGGGGGCAGCAGGCTCAGGTTGTGGAGACACTGGTCACCATAGAGCTTCCACTTCTCAAACAGGAAGTCCATCACCTGAGCGGAGGGGGCCTGCGGCTGGGGGTACAGATGGATGGACAGAGGGGACAGACTGGCGTCAGCATGAGGGGCAGGCAGGCTGGTGGGACAGGGGGACTGGCAGCAGCGCTCACCTGGCAGGCCAGCAGCAGAAGCAGGAGGAGGTGGGGGCAGCGCGGCAGGACGGGGGGCATGCCTCTGGGCAGCTGCCCCCCACATCTGGCTGGGGTTGCACAGCTGGGGCAAAGAGGTCCTCGTGGGTGCACTGTCCTCCGGGGGCTGCTCAGTATCAGAGCAGCAGGGTCTGTGCAGGGACACCCAGGAGTGAAGAGGCCCAGCTGGTCTCCGTTGTGATCAGCAGGGTGTCCTGCTCCCCTAAAACCATCCCTCTGAGTCTCCGAATCCTACTAATGAAGTGAGAGCTGGGAGGGAGGGGATGCCAGAAATGGTCACTCTGCCAGTGGCAGGTTGGGGGTCTGGCCCTGCACCTGGGGGTTCTGCTCAGGGTCCTGGGGGCTGCTCCATCTCACAGACCGTGGCTGTCTGTGTGGCGGCTCTGACAGTCCCAGAGCCCCTCTCCTACATGTTGGTTAAGCGGCCCCAGTCCTGCCTGGTCCCAAAGATGTCAGAGGAGGGAGCAGCCTCCCTAGCTGCCCAACTCCTCCCTTCGGCTCTCGCTATTTTTCCCACCTATTCTTAGCTCCTGGGAAAGTCAGCATGGCAGGCTGGGGCAGGGTACCAGGACCATCCATCACTTGGTCCCCAGGGGCATGGTTATCAAGGTGACCCTGGGCCAGCTCCCAGACTTGGCAGGGGCCAGGAGTGCCAAGCATAGGCTTAGGGTGGTCCCTGTCACATCCATGCCCCCTTGCCCAGGACTGGGGTGTCTAGGTGCTCCCTTGGGCCACGCCCAAGACTCCGGCCGGGCTTCCTGGGTCCCATGGGCCATAGCACACAGGCAGCTGCAGCGCATTCCTTTGAGATTAGCACTGCCAGCTGCCGGGGGGCTCAGACACAGGACCCCTGCCCTCGTGGTGCCTGCAGGGGGGACCTGAGGTGCCTGGTCGTGTCCGAAGCCTGCACTGGGGACATTAGCAGCCCCGTAAGTCATCGTGTCACCGCTTCCAGAGTCCGTCTTCTGATCCACTGAATCCCACAAGGGCGGTAGGAAGGGGCTTCCTTTGGGGCCTAGGGGTGGGGCCCCTAGGAACTACCCATGCAAGCCCCCTTAGGGCTGTGGATGGCATCCTGCCACAGAGTGAGCATGTGATGGACCGATGGATGGACAGATGGACGAAACTGGCTGGCTGGAAGGCAGTGCCTGGGAGAAGCCAGGGAGAAGGTGGGGAGGAGGGATGCAGGCTGTGACTGAAGGTGGAGGGTTGCTGGACAACCCTGGATCTCAGCCTCCTCCCATCAGAGTCCAGATGGGCCCTCATGGGGCCAACTCACGTGGGCTCCTCTGTGATCCACTCCTCACCCCTAACGGGACCCTGAGATGCCACCACATGGGGTGGGCACCTGGACCATAGCCTGCTGTGGGGCTCCTCACCCTGGCCCTTGGGCCACAGCGCAGGTCAGGCCTGGTGAGGCAGGGCCCAGTAGTGGCTGGTCCCCAGGCCCTGGTCCAGGTGGAGGAGCCAGAGCGGCGGGCCTTCTCAGGGGAGTAGCCCCCAGGCAGGTGGAGGACAAGGGGCAGTTCAGGTGTCCCCAGCCTGAGGGGCCTTATCTCCTGATTCTTATCAAACAGCCCGGTCTTCTGCCCTGCCCTTGCCCACCGAGGCCACGGAGCCAGGTGGGTGAGGACCACTGTGACCAGCTGCTGGAGGAGGGGAGGTGGCTGGGAAGGCTCAGGGAGACAAGGGCAGCCTGGATGGCTAGAGGCTCTGGGGGCAGGGCAAGGGGAGAGTGACAAGGGATGGCTGGGGTGGAGTAGACAGTGGAGATGCAGGCAGGGAACATGGGGAGGAAGGATACTGCCCCCTGCCCAGGGGCCCTGCAGCCGGTGGTGAAGGGAGGATGAAGCTGCGGGGATAGTCCAGTGAGGAGCTCCAAGGCAAAATGTCAGCCCCTCAGAGTCCAGCTGGGGTGTGGTGGCCAGGCTGTGCCTCAACTTTCCCATCTGAAAAGTGGGAGTTCACCTTGCTCACCTCCTAGGGCTGTTAGGAGAACCCAAGGTAGGTGGGGCCACACCCAAGCAGCCTGCCTTCCAGCTAGGGGTCAGTTAGTCTGGGAACCACAGAGAGAAGCTGAGCCCCGGGGTAGAGGGGAGAGAGGGATGGGCTGCCCTGGGGCCCCTCCTTCACTGCCCCTCCAATGGCAGCCAGAGCAGAGGAGTAGGGAGGCCTTTCCATAACCCCTACTCCCATCCCTGGTCTGGTATGTGGGGCTGGGAATCCTTGAAGATTCACCCCACACAGTTCAGCACCTACAGATCACAAGCTGGTACCCCAGCTCAGAGCACCGGTGGCCCCACGTCCCTAGGGATCAGGGCCTCAGCACCCCCCAAGCAATACAAGAGGTAGAGGGTGAACCTCTCACTAAGTCTCTGACAGAAACACAAGGGGCAGAAGTGGATGAGGCTCCCATGCCTGTCAGGGGAGTACGGGCAAGACATCTAGACACTTCTCTGAATGAGGACTGGGCAGAGTGTGGGGCTGTGCAACGACTTGCAGCTGTGCAAGGCTGAGGTTCTAAGGTCCCTGCCCTGAGCACCCAGGTGTGAGGCTGCCGCCACAGGAGCGGGGGACGTTGCAAGGCCCAGTTCTGGTCCCGGCACCAAGGGTAAATAATTCAACTTCTCAGAGCCTCGGTTTCCCTACTTGAAAAGTCCCTGCGTCCTCAACACCATGGAGGACAATGAGATGTGCCACTTGAAGGGAAGGACAGATTATCACGTGCAGGCCCCCTCCCTTCCGTGGGGGACACTGCAACCCCAGAGGCAGCCTGCCAGCCCCAGGGATAAATATCCGTTGAATGAGTGAGGGCTGAGGCTGGGGTGCGGAGGTGCTGCTCCAAGCCTCCCATTGGCCTTGGCGTCAGGGCTGCCGTTTTCCACCTTATTACCCTCCCCGGCACGGCTCGGGAGCCTACGGGCCAGGGACCAAGCCTTCTCCCTTCATGGACCTGGAGGCTTCGCTCCCTCTCTGGCCCTGGACTGCACCTGCCCAGCACAGATAGCTCAGGATCAGAGACTCTTGGCGGAGTGGGAAGGAGGGCCAGCTTTCCCCCGGCCCCAGCCCGCCCCCTCCTCTCTTTCCCAGCCCCCTCTCTCCACCACGGGCTGGCTGGCCGGCGTTCTGTCTCCCCGCCGGGCAGAACACACCACTCCTGGGTGCTCAAAGCTCAGTTGTTTTCTCCAGTTTCCCCTGGGGATGCCCCAGGGCTCCCAGACCTGCAGCTGGGGGAGGGGCCCCCAGGATGGGTGGATCTCCATGGAGGAGAGCGGGGCGCTGGTCACCCCAGCTCCTCCCAGGATCTGAATAGGTGTGGTTGTGGCCTACCAGCCTCTGATGGGTATGGGGGTGGGGGGTGTTTGTGAAACCAGAGCAAGTAGCGGAAGGTCATGGCCCCAGGGCGGGATCAGGGGCCACAGTTTGTTGACAAAGCCTGATTCCTGCGTCCTCCTCCCACTCTGTGGGGGCAGGGCGGGCCTGGATGTGGGCCAGGGTGCTACTCCCCCACCAACCCTCATCCCCCAGCACAGGAGGGCCGAAAACAGCCCGGACAGGTCCTCGGAGGATGCGGGCGCCCAGACCTCAGGAGTCAGTCCGTTTCTTGTGGGGGCAGAAATCCTGCGACCCAGAAGTGTGAGTGGGGGCCGCCGGAGAGGAAGGAGCAGGCAGGGCAGTGACCTGCCCTCCCTGCGGATCAAAGTGACAAGTGTAGGCTCCGCGGATGACGCCCCTCGGCCCCTCCGGGGAAACCCGGGTAACCAAGATACTGCTGGGGAGCTTTGGGAAGCAGAGGCCCGCTGGAGGGAAGCAGGGCTGCCCCCCGCGCCTCTGGGGGTGTCTCCGAGGTTCTGTGTATGCGCGGGAAGGGGGGGCGGGGAAGGGGGGTGCTGGAGGGAGGAGTCGGGAGCGGAGAGGGGCAGCAGGACAGCGCGCCTGGCGCTCACAGACACCCCACCCTTTTCCCCGAGACGCGCTCCCCAGGGAGGAGAGGACGGGGGAAGCGCTGAGACCCCCAACCTTCTCGATAGTGCGGAACCAGGTTGACCGTCCGAGCTGGAAGGGCGCATCCTGGGGTTGGGAACGGGGTGTCCGACGGCGATGAGGACGGCGACACCCAGGGCCCGAGACCGCCCACCTAAGATAGGGGTCCACGCCGGCCAGTCCCGCGCTCCCGCCTTCGGCCCCCGGCCGGGAACGTGTCCTCGAGCCTGGCCCAGGTGCTCACCGCGCGCCGCTCCGGCCGCTTCGCGATCCCCGTAGTCCTCCGCGCGCACGGGTTAGGGGCCGGCCGCCGCTCGTCTCCACGGCGCTGCCAGATCAGGGTCGGCGCCGGCTCCGCGCCCGCGCCCCGCGCCCCGCGCCAGCCTCTAGCAAACTTTCCGGCGGCTACGCTCCGCGGCGGCGGAGGGAGAGGAGGAGGGGGCGGGGGCGGGGCGGGAGCGGCCCGAGGGTCCCCGCCCGCGCCTCCGCCCTCCTGCCGCGCCTCGGGGAGCGACTGCGGGCCCGGGAGCCCCTGCCCGCAGACCCCTCCCCGCGCGCCCGTGCCCGACTCTTGCCTTGCGGACTCCTACCCCACGGGGCCCTCCCCGCGGACCCCGCCCCGCAGAACTCCCAACCCAGAGCTCACTCGGCAGACCCCCGCCCGAGCGAACCGGGCCGGCAGACGGCAGCTCCCCGCGGGGACAGCAGCGGTGGATGGACAGGTGCGGTGTGTGGCGGGCGCGCGGCCGGGCGTGGGGGCTGTGACTCCACGCCCCTTCCTCTCGTCTCCTCCGCGTTCCCGGGCCCTCACAGCTTCTTTCCCGGGTACTGATTGTCGGAAGGACTGACCCCTCACTTACCCCGCACCGTGGCTCCTAGGCGAAACTCCCACCGCGCCGGAGTGGAGTGGGGGGCCAAGGCGGGGAAGGGCGGCCCCTGGGGTGCCTCTTTAAGCCCGAGGGTCCCGCGCCATCTCCCTTAAGCACCCTCCAGCACCGTTCATCCAACAGCACAACCCCTCCCTCCGGGCCCCCCCCCCGGCGGTCCACACACCCCAGCAGTCAGCCCCCAGTGACCGCAGGGTCACCAAACCTCATGCACACTTTGGGGCCTCATCTTTCCTGGCCTTTCAGTATCTGGGGACATGGATGGTCATGCCCTCCTTCTGGAAAGTTCTCCCATGGCTCTGGTTTCCAGGCTGGCGTTCCCACCTCCTTCTCTCTGCATTCCCCTCCACTTTCCCTTGGACAGTTCCTAATGTTCCCACTGCCAGATGCCCAGGACCCCACCAGGACCCCTCTCCCCTGACCCTTTCCCATCTCCTGAATGTACTTCCTCTGCCCACCCACCTGCTGGACTCCTGGCAGGGATCTTGAGGTCTCCAGTGCATCACCAAATCCTGATTCTCCCTCTCGCATTTCTCTGGAATCTGTCTGGGCTACCTCTCCACTGTCAACCACTGTTTGGCCACCATCACCCTGGGATGCTCTCCCTGGCCCACTGGGTCAGCTCTTTTGTTAGATGCTGTCCTTTGTGTTTGGGGCCCTTCTCCCTACTGCTGTTTTGGGGGACATTGGAACCCGTGGTTCTCCCCTACCCATGGCTCCCCCCTCCGTCCAGCCCCCAGAGCAGAGCTGAAGCTGGTTCCAGCACCCTGTGACATACCCACAGGCAGCTGGTGCTTGGTAACCTGCCCTGCCACTGTCTGAAGGCTCAGGAGGAGGGGCATTTCTGGGGGTGCCCTCCAGACCCCCATTCTTACCAACCCACCTGGAACCCTGTCCCCAGAGCAGCCTGTTTTGTTTCAGGCAGTCGCCAGAAGACAAAGGTCAGAAGCAAAGGTCAGAAAGTCTGGGCTGCTCGCATAGGGCCAAAGGCGCCGGTGCTGGATGCAGGTGCTGGGGGAGGGGAGCTTTCCGAGATCCTCCTCCCCCCTTCCCTTGCACCCCTCTTCCAGCTCTCCTCCCACTTCTCTTGGGGCAGGGCACCCGTACGGGCAACAGAGATCTGTGTAGGTGCCCCCTACTCTCCCTACAGCTGTGATCTTGGGATCTTGCTTGTGATCTGGGTGGGCTCCTGCCTGTGAACAGGGTCCCTGGCACCACGCTGGGTGGCTGTGAGGCTCAGGGGGGAAGCTACAGGTTCTTCCCAGAGGTGGGATAAATCTGAGGAGCTGGGAAGGTCATCCCTGCTGTGTGACCTTCAGAGAGGCCCTTCCCTCTCTGGAACTTATTTTCCTGAGGAAATTCTGGTTGGGTGGAGGCCCAGCAGTCTGGGGGAGGGGCTGGGTGGCCCGAGTTGGGTTCTAGCAGGAAGAGATGTGAAAGAATAAATGTAGAGTTTATTCATAAATGTATGAAATGGGGGGGGCATACTTGAAATGTGTGGACACGGTGGGGAGCAGAAGGGGGAGGGAGAGGGAAGAGATGGAGGAGGGGGTGCCTTCCTGGGTTGGGCCACCTTTATTTACATAACTGAATTCATAAGACATAAATAGAGCAGAAACTGGGAATGAAGGGGGCTGGGCCTTCCCACGGAGCATTGGAGGTCTGGGAAGTGAGGAAGGGGTCTGTCCATCACTGAGTCCCTGAGGGTCCCGATGGGGGTGGCACCCTGGAGGTGTGCTGGCTCCTGTGTGCCAGGGCAGGCCGGGGTTGGGGGCTGCCGTCCGCAGCCACAGGAGTGCTGCTCTGTGCGTCTGCGCTGTGGGCTCTGAAGAATACACCAGCAGAGCTCGGTTCAGGCATCTGGCCGAGTGTCATGAACTGGTACTGCGCACAGAGCCTGGCAGGGAGACCCAAACACCCCAGCATCGAGTTCTGGGCGGGAGATGTTGATAAGTGGCCAAGAAAGAGGTGGCCAGATTGGGTGGTGCTGGGCGGAAACCCAGGGCAGAAGGACCCCCCAGCGCATCAGGACCCAGAAAATGTGGAGCTGCAGGAAAGGATTCAGGGGGAAAAGAGATGGTGTCCCCAGACAGAGCTGCTGTTAATGTCGCAGGGTGGTTCCTTTCAGGTCTCTTTACTGTTGCTTTTTTAAAATTAATTAATTGATTTTGGCTGCGTTGGGTCTTCGTTGCTGCGTGCGGGCTTTCTCGAGTTGCGGTGAGCAGGGGCTACTCTTCGTTGCGGTGCACGGGCTTCTTATCGCAGTGGCTTCTCTTGTTGCGGAGCACGGGCTCTAGGTGCGAGGGCTTCAGTAGTTGTGGCACGCGGGCTCAGTAGTTGTGGCGCATGGGCTTATTTGCTCCGCGGCATGTGGGATCTTCCCGGACCAGGGCTCGAACCCGTGTCCCCTGCACTGGCAGGCAGATTCTTTTTTTTTTTTTTAATTTTTTAATTTATTCATTTATTTAGTTTTTGGCTGCATTGGGTCTTCGCTGCTGCACACAGGTTTTCTCTAGTTGCTGAGAGCTGGGGCTGCTCTTTGTTGCGGTGCATGGGCTTCTCATTGCGGTGGCTTCTCTTGTTGCGGAGCACGGGCTCTAGGCGTGTGGGCTTCAGTAGTTGTGGCTCGCGGGCTCTAGAGAGCAGGCTCAGTAGTTGTGGCACACAGGCTTAGTTGCTCCGCAGCATGTAGGATCTTCCTGGACCAGGGCTTGAACCTGTGTATCCTGCGTTCGCAGGCGGATTCTTAACCACTGCGCCACCAGGGAAGTCCCCTACTGTTGCTTTTGATAGAGTTTTGTGTCCAGCTTTCCCAGCATAGCTGGTAACATAAGCATTTCCCCATCTTAATAAGAGGTCTTCTCAACACCATGGAACCTGGGCACTTAGTATTCTATTGTGTAGATATGTCAGACTTTACTCAACCATTCACAGGCTATAGGAATCAGAAAAGGGAACAACCCAAAGCCCCAGCGAATGGGCACTAAGCTGCATCCTGGTGCCTCTCTCAGACATTCTTGAGAGACTGAGAACCAATGGAAAAGAGGACACTGGATGAAACAGAGCTAATGCAGAGACCAGCTAATGAAAGAGTCCTTGTGAAATTTAAAAAAGGAATCTAAAAACTTAAAAATTTAATAGAAGGATTGAAAGAATGAGTTGAGGAAATCTCACAGAAGAAAGAACAAAAATCTGAGAGACAGAAACTAGGAAAGCGAAGATAAGAGATGGTGGAGGATCTGTGCAGAAAGCCTAGCACTTGAGGGACAGAGTTTCCAAAATGAGATCAGAGGAGGAGGAGACAACTGTGAACAAATAATACAGAGCTCTTCCCAGAACCTCTGTAGTGGAAAAGCCGCCAAGCGGCCAGCACAGTAAAAACAGCAAACCAGCTAACGGATTCAAAAACTCCACCACGTTGCATCATCATGAAGTTTCAAAGTCATCAGAATAAAGAGAAGATATTGAAAATTTCTAGAGTGTGAACGTAGGTCTCCCGGAGAGAGCACTGCTCAGCGTGGCATAAGACCGGTCGCCAGCAGCCAAGCGAGCCACATTCCCAGGGACAGGACTTCTCACCTCACATCCTCTCTCCAGGCCCACCATCCTCCAGGTCGTGCTGCAGGTGCTAGGGCAGAATAGGACATTTCCAGACACCAGAGGACTCTTACTTCCCACGCAGCTCTTCTTAAGAAGCTCCGAGGTTGAGCCACCCAGCATGGAGCGGGGTGCCATGCCAGTCAAGAAGATACTGGATTTTGAAGGCTTAGTACAAAAACAGAACGTAAAGTATCATGAATTGTGTGTGCTGGTCACATGTTGAAGGGATCCTCTTCCTGACAAATTGGTTTAAATAAAAGGTATTACTAAAGTTAATTTCACCTGTTCCTTTTCCTTTTTAAAAAAATTTTATTTATTTTGTTTATTTATTTTTGGCTGCATTGGGTCTTCATTGCTGTGCGTGGGCTTTCTCTAGTTGCGGTGAGCAGGGGCTACTCTTTGTTGCGGTGCGCGGGCTTCTCACTGCGGTGGCTTCTCTTGTTGTGGAGCACGGGCTCTAGGCACGTGGGCTTCAGTAGTTGTGGCACATGGGCTCAGTAGTTGTGGCTCGCGAGCTCTAGAGCGCAGCCTCAGTAGTTGTGGCACACGGGCTTAGTTGCTCCACGGCATGTGGAATCTTCCCGGGCCAGGGCTCAAACTCGTGTCCCCTGCATTGGCAGGTGGATTCTTAACCACTGTGCCACCAGAGAAGTCCCCCCTTTCCTTTTTAAATGTGGATACAAAATATTTGAAATGACTAGTTGGTTCACAGTTGTGCTGCGTAATATTTCTGTTGGGCGGCGCCCTCTAAAAACGCCAAGAGACTGTATAAATAAGGAAATGTAATAACAGCCCCCACCCCCCTCCCCCGGGCTGCCCACCGACCCTTCCACTAACAAAATGTACCCAATTGCGGTGTGAATGCAGATCGTTATGCCTCTGGATTGAAGGGGGGCGGAAGGGGTCAGAAGCAGGTGGGAGGGCCCGTCTCTGGTTGGGGTGCCAGGAAGTTGGGATAATGC